CACTTAAAACTAGAAGAGTTAAGCTGGTTCCTTTACCAAATTAACAAAAAGGGCAGAGAACAGACAGGACTTATTGTAGTACAAGCACAAGATGGAAAAGTGGTAAAGACTATAAGCTTTGGCAAAAGAAAAAAAAGAGGATTTTTTTTAAAGGATAGAGAGTCTGAATCAATAGATCAGACCAACTTCTATCATCAGTGCATCCAAATGTCCAGCCCTCTACCTCCCACTATGTGTAGTACCCAACCACTTCTACACAATCCTCTTCCCCATAAACCTTTTGCCAACAGCACAGACATTCTCTCTACTTGCGGCACCTAAACCCAAGCTCTTCCAAAAATTCAATTAGCCAACTGAAACTGTAACTCATTCCCGAGTTGCCTCCCTGAAAGCACTGATTAAAACAAGGATGAATTTCTCTCCAGGATGGAAATTTGTCTCCTCAATCTTAATTCTTCAAGAAAAAAGAGCCAGTTTTATACAGTATATTCCACTTCTGCCTTGAAGAGTGAACTGTTCAGCTGTTGCCCTCCAGCCATAAACAAATCAGAAACACACACACGTGCGCGCGCACACACACACACACACACACAAAATGTTTCAAACACTGGACAACAGGAAGCTCAGGACTGTGACTGTGGAAGGTGGTGAGTCCTACAGTGCCCCTGCTTGCTGTCAGCATTCAGAGAACCCAGCTCAGGGATAAGAACCAAAAACAGAGGCTCATGTTATCATGAAGTTGAGAGGACAGAGATCAGAGTGTAGGAGTGCCAAAGTGTCTGGAATTTGCAAAACAGGGTAAAAGAAGATAAAAATACTTATGGAGAGAGCTCTGGAACTGTAATGGGGATTCCCTTAAAGTCTTTGAGTACATATCAGTGCATACATGAAAAGAAAATTCCTGAGATTAGACAAGAATCCTACAACAGATGGCTGAATAATTTCAGAACTTACGCAGGTTTCATAATGTTTCCTGATCCCATCAGCCAAAATGTAATTCTTGGGACACTGGTGAGAGGTCTAAAAAGGATTATGCCTTAGTTTTGAAGCTAAATTAGTGCCAAAATAGAGGTTGCTCTGAAGCTGCCTCATCAAAGCCTAAAAGCAAGCACTGAAAAGTTCCAGCCTGTGGGTTGCTTCACAAAAGCCAACATGCTAAAGAAATACTGTCTTATAAAACCGATAACCCAACAACATATAATTCACAATAGTCAGCATCTAATTAAAATCTGTGGGCATGCCAAATAAAAGGAAGACAAAAAAAGAAATTTAACTCATCACAGGTATAAATCATCCACCAGAAATGACACAGAGAAAGGAATTAATAAACACTTTGAAATAGCTATAAGTATTATAAATATGCCAACAATATATGGGAAAATATCAACATAACAAAGAGTTAAATGAAAACTATAAAAAGACCCAAATGGGCCACCTGGAGATGAAAAACAAGTAACTAACATAAAAAATACAGTAGATAAGATTAACAGCAGATTAGACAATGCAAAAGAAAAAAATGAAGATGCATAAACACAAGGACAAACAGCAAAATAAAGCCTAAAGAGAAAATAGTCTGAAAATAAACACTGAAATATGAGACAATATTAAACACTCTAACATCCATAATTGGAGTTTCAGAGAAGGGCTGAATAGCAGAAAGTATATGTGTAGAAATAAGGACCAAAATTTTTTTCTAAATTTGGTGGAACTTATAACCCACAGGCCCAAGAAGCTTGATAAATCCAAAATTAATAAAAAATGCAAAACAATACAAAGACCCATCATAATCAGAATACTTAAACCTAGTGCTAAAGGAAAAGTTTTGAAAGGAGGGGGAAATGAGTAATTAAGAATGACAGCAGATGTTTCATTTAAAAAAATAAAAAGAAAAACAGAAGACCATGGAATGGCATCTCTGCAATGGAAAAGAAAAAAGTAAACCAAGACTTTTCTAACCAGTGAAAAATCAATTTAAAAATAGAGATTAGGTAAAGACTGTCTCAGACCAAGAACATTTCAGAGAACTCATGGCATCAGACCTGCACTACAAGAAAGGTTAAAGGAAGTTCTTTCATCAGCAAAGTAAATAATTGTGGACGCAAGTGTAGATGTAGCCAAAGGAAAGAAGAACAGCAAGAATAACTATCTGGTTAAAGAATTTAACATAGAAGATCCACTTTAAATAATGAGAAGCAAGAGCCAGGGATGATGGCATACGCTTGTAATTTAAGCGCTCAGAAGGCTGAGACAAGTGGATCACTGTGAGTTCAAGGCCAGCTTGAACTACAAGACAATGAGACCCTGTCTCCGTAATAATCAAAATAATAACAATAAGTGCAAGGACCCGAGTTCGATCCCAGGTACCAAAAAATAAATTATTATTAATAATAATAATAATAATAATAAGTGAATCAATTTGGTTTACCCTTTTCAGTTCATTCTCCAAACAGAAACCTGGATAATCTTGAAATCACAGCCCTCTTTGCCTCTTAAGATAAACATCTTTCCTCCAAACAAGCCCATATTGAACTTGACTCTTTTCCCCTTTTACTGGCTTATTCCTCTCCCCCTTTATTCTCTGTTGTCAGACTATACTGGCCTTCTCTTGTTTTGTTATCATAACAAGATCTCTTTAACTATAGGGCATCTGTACCAATTGTTCCCTCCCTCTGGAAAAGTCTACTTTCCTTTCTTCCACTAGCTAGTCTTTACTAATCCATCAGATCCCAGATCAAACACAAATTCTTTTTTTTAATTTTAAAAAGTTTTTATTAGTACATGCTTATAGTACATAATGACTATGTTGATTGTGAGGAGTTGGTACATGTACATAACACAACTTAATTCTTTTTACTTCCCCTTCCCCACTCCCTCCAGCAAAAACAACATGCCTCTATGAAATTCCTAGCTACATGGTATTTCTTTGTTTTAAGGGCTTTAGAACCATGCTGTATTTCATTTCAGTTTGTGAACAAACATTCAGTCTTTTGAAATTATTTGATTAACATCTGCCTTCCCTAAAGGCACTATTTTAGTTATTTATGTTCTATCCATGAAAAAGAAAGCGCAAATTACTGACTTTCACTGAAATACAAGATGCTGGAAGATCCACCTGTGGTGAGATATCAGGTAATGATGAATTTGAGAGAAAACAAAAACCAAGGAGTGAGAGGCACAGCATATGTGCATCGGTCATGATGCACAAAACCATATTGATTTGTAGCCACAGAGGCTGATGAGACTCAGTTCACAGTGGTCACCTCATTCTGCCACCCAGACACACACAGAACAGGAATCATCTGAAAGAGTACATGTCACAGTGACAGAGGAAAAAGAGAAGGTAACCAAAAAAGCAACTGGCCTTTAAAGTTCTGCAGGTTATGGTATATTTAACTTCCATTCCTATTTCATTGACCACAGGAAAACAAATGACCGAGCCTGACTTCAGTGGGGTTAAGAGTCATAATCCTCCTCTGGGAAAAGGAAGTAGGATTTGGTGAACACCAATTCATTTCACCTTAGTGGACTATTTCAAATAGAGTGTCCATGAAAGGTCTGGGTGGAGAGCATTTGATCAGAGTGAAATAGAATGAGAAAAGGGAAGGTCAAAGATGATATTCAAGAGGCAGCCAGGAGCTATGACATATAGGACTTTACAGGATCTTGAAAGGTTTTACTCTAAGGCAATTTGAACACCATCTTGAGCATTGGAGCAGGGACAGACATAGAAGGCCTTATGTTCTAAAAAAAGAAAAAAGTTCTAGGTGGCATATGGATAACAGAATGTGAGAGGTAAACAGGGAATAAGGATATCAGAAGACAGACTCTTCTCCTTATCCAACTAAGAGATGATGATGGACTTGTACAGTAACAAGATGTGGTTGAATTGAGAATATACTTTGATGTGAAATCCAACAGGATCTATTAATAGACTGAATTTGCGTTATATGAAAAAGCAAGAAATCTGTGGCGAGCTGAAATTCAAATTTAAGACTGGATGACTCCTATCACATTACATTATTCAAGTAACTAGCTACCTCAAAATCAAAATAGCAATTTCATTCACTGTGAACTAACTTCTTGACAAATAAATATATTCTGCTCTGTTTTCTATCTCTGTAGGCCAAAAATATCCATAAAACTTCAACAACCATACATAGTAGGCTTCATTAGACATCACAACAGTAAACTAAAACAACACATCTAAAGATTTCTTACCTAAAAGGTAAACTTGAGTATAATCAAGCTTCTAGAGCATCCTTGTACTTGGAGGAAATCCAGAGACAGAGAAACAAGTTCAGCGGCATCACAAGAAAGAAATAGGCAAACCTGAAATATGAGACATTGACAAGGACAAATGACCCAATATTTGTCATAAATTCAAAAGAGAAGGTGAAGACCACTGTAGAGTAAATGAGCCTCAAGATCATACCAAGCAAATGTAATATGTGAACATTGTATGAAACCTGACACAAAAAATGTGTAAGACATTTTTGAAGAAATTTGCTTTGATTGAAAAGAAGTTATTAGATGATACCAAAAAATTACTGTTAATTTTATGGGAGGGATAATGACACTGTGCTTATAGAATAGAAAACCTATACTCTTTAAAGCTGTACATAAAAGTTAATGATTTCTAGAATTAACTTTAAAATATTTGGATAAAATAAATTAAAGTTTAGAGTAAATAAAATTGGAAAAACTTGAATAATTTTCATCCTAGACAATGTTAATATTGATTCATATTATTATCCTTTCTACCTTGTGCGTGTTTAAAATTTTTCAAAATAAAAATATTTTAAGGCAAAAAAAATAGTAATTGAAAAAGAGAAGCTAGCTACAAATAGCTACAAAGATCAAAACAGATTAGCATAAATCTTTTCATTGGAAATATTAGGTGCAAAATGCTTAAATCAAGGATAATATTTACCTTATAAACTTATAAATCAAATACACAAAATGAATAAATTTTTAGACATGGAGAAACATTGAAAATATACCTTGGGGTTCTTTAGCAAATCACAAACAAGCCCAGAAAAGAGTAGATCACGTGATCTAAGAAAAAAGAAAATTAGAAATCATAGTCAAAATAAAAAAATGATACAAGAAATCCATACTTCAACTAGGAAAGTAACAAAATTATCTTTTCATTTTGATCTTTTGATGTACTTAAGAGATAGGTATTAATTTGCCCTTGATGCTTTTCCCTGAAGAGACTGAGATTTGGGTTTTAAAATTAGTTACAGTTCTTAGTGTCTGCAGTAAATAATATTTATGTAATTAAAATATAATAAATATTTTTATTTTTGACTTTTAAAGTCACTAGTCAAAGCACAGAAAGCTTAATTATGGTTCCAGAAAAGAATAATATGCTTCATATTGCAAATGTTAACACTACACCATCTGGAAGTTAGAAGATTGTGAAGACAATATGGAAATTCATCAGGAAATTAATCATTTTAAGTAAGAGGGAGGGAAACAATTGTTCAAAGTTACTGATAAAGCAACAGAAGTTTAAGTTTGATATTTAAAATTATAAATGCAACATATATATCAGTTATATAAGAAAAGAATGAAAGAGGAAAATATGAAAAGTTATATATAATCTAACTTTATTTCCTTTTATAGTGGAAAGTAAATAGATATATTTAAATTTGATAAATCAATAAATGTCACTGTATGCATATAGGGAACCTCAAATAATCCAAAATAGAAATGGGGCATGAGAATGAGCACTGAGGACTGTGGTAACACATATTTCCTTTTGCTTTTCATCTTTCTGTACTGCTTGAATTTGTATAAACATATATTATATATATATGAATTTATATAAACATATATTACTTTTATAACTATATTTTTAAAGCCAAAGATCCAATAATTAAATAAAAGCCTTATTGTATGAAACAAATTTTGAAAAATATAAATCACAAATTGAAAGCCTCTCCATTAGAAATTTTTTAATGAAATAAATGCTCCATGTACAAGAAATAAAGATAAAATAACCTATTACTTTAAATTTAAATATTTAGGCTTAGATGAAAATAAAATTAAAGAAAATGATGTTACTAAATATCGATCTTCATTGAAACAACAAATTTTTAAAATGGTAATAAATTCTCAAAATAAAACAGCCAGACAGAAAGGAACTCAATTTCAGAAATGATGAAAATGTAAAACAGCACAAATATTCTGAAAAACAATATGGACATTTATAATATAAGTAGCAGAGTGTAGATTCAACATGGCTGAATAGAGGAGGAGCCATGTTGGAGTTACTCAGAGAAAATCAACTAAAAACACATGTAATTGGAAGAAAAGGAGAGGCATATACCCCAGTGCCAAAATCAATCTGAAATAAGAGACTTGTAGATCAAACAAAACTCAGGCATAGGACTTCATAAAATGATAAAGCAGCACACAAGGCTGCCTGCAGGATTTCTGCCTGCACACAGTGCAGGAACTGCCATTCTGAGAAGTTCCCAAAAAGCTGATGGATACCGTGACAAACTCAAGCCACACATGATAGATCTGGGATATAGGGCCCCTCACTCTGTTACCTTCCTCCAGAGGACATTGCAGCCTGGCAGCAAATTTCACCAGCACACCAGGAAGCTGCTCCCTCCCCAAAGGGCCACAAGGTTTTTTGTCTTTTGGTTTGTTTGTTTGTTTGTTTTGTTTTGTTTGTTTTGTGCCACAGCAGCTAACTGGACCTTCTAGTGACAAGGTTAGGGACCGCAGAAGTGGCAGTGAAGGTAGTGAGTGCAACAGCACTACTCCTCCTGCCCTGCAACCAGAGGTGCAAGACAGGAGAGAGAAGTGGGACCTGAGCAGCCTTGGGCTGTCCCTGCAGCAGTAGCAGGGGCAGTGAGTTGACTGACAACACTCCCTCCAGCCTGCTCCCAGCAGTGTGAGAGGAGAGGACATCCCTGTGGAGGAGAACAGAGGAGGCTGGTCCAGGGCCAAGAGGGGCCAACTGTACATGCATGGGACTGGGAGCAGCTGCAGGCTGTCTCTGCCTGAGGGTGCCACAGCAACTGGGAGAGCAACACAGAGATACACAGGGTAAGGAGACACGGGCGAGGCACCAAGGGGCATCCAGAAAGCTGCCATCTAAAGACTCTGGCCCCAGCCCCCACATCCAAAGGCCAAGATCAGGCCCATATCCAATGCTAATCTTACTGCAGATCTGGCGGACTTACCTGACACAGGTTTGGGCTCTGACTTGGACACTACCATGAAACTGTGGACACTAAAGGAACTTTTTTAGTTTTTAGTTTTCTGTTTGCTTGTTTGTTTTGTTTTCCCTTTTTCGCTCTGGTGGGTGTTTTTGTTTGGTTTTGGTTTTGGTTTTGGTTGTTTAGGTTTTTATTTGTTTTGTCTTTTTTTTCTATTTCTTCAACTGTTTTTCTCAATTTATTTTTAATACTTTCATGTGAGTGAACATTGTCTCTAGTCTTTCTGGTTCCCTTCAATATTCTTTTGTTTTCTCCTTCATTCTTTCTCTCCTGTCCTCTTCTCCAGTTTCCCAAAACTTGGGTGATCATCCTTTGTCCTTCAGTCTTGCTTCAATTATATTTCTCTTCATTTATCCCTTTATTTTTTCTCCTATCCCTCATAAATCACCACACACACACACACACACACACACACACACACACACACACGAGGTAAAATCACTCTACTAAGGTGAAACTCATTGCATACACATTCCTGATTTGTATTAGATTTTGTTATATAGCTGTAGATCTTGCTCCTATGGCTAAAGGTACCAAAATAATAGTTACCATAGTTTGTCAGTTTCTAGGTCATGCTTCATGCTATTGTCACTGCTAATTGTACTACTTTAGCCAGGATGTCATTTTTTTTGTAATCAGTCATTCTCCCTTGTATGACAACACTGCAATTGTCTGGAGACATAATCATTACCATAGTCCACTACAAAAGGATTGGGTGCTGGGCCAAATAGACAGAAATTTCTTTTCCCTAATAAATTAAGAAGATATGATCTTGGGAGAGACAGCAAGACCAAGAGCCAGATATATGTAGAAGACATCTCTGAAGAATAGACATTTCTGAGGGAATCCTCAATACTAGTGATAAAGCTACCTACCATAAGCAACTTATAATCATCAACACTGAAAACAAATTAAAATAAAAAATAGAAAAGGACAAGATGCAGAAGTAAACTGCAATCCCAGACCCCCATCCCATCCAAGACAAGTCTAGGAGAAAATGAGATAGAGGAAATCAGAAGCCACCCACCTGAATTTTCTGAAATAGAAGCAGCAAAAGTAAAAAACACAGATGAACGAGGCTATAGAGAAAATAAGATCAGAAATATAGTGGACCCTTGAATTATGACTTCTCTGACATATGAACAATTTGAATTATGATTTCAATTTTAGTTTTAACTTACAAAAAAAGTCTTGAGTTACAACCAAGTGCTGGCTGCTTGTGCTTCCAGATGGTCTCAAACATAGATTTAACCCTTAAAGAGTTCTGGAAGGAATATTACAACATTCTTTCCTGTATGGGATTAATTGAGACATCCTGGGCGAATGTCTCTCTAAGGACACTAAGATCTTCAAAGAGACTTTGAAGAGGCTGTGTAGAGGGGGCTGAGCCTTCAATTGGCCAACCTGAGTTATAACCAGCACTTGTGAATGAATTGAGTTTGTAAGTCAAAGGTCCACTGTAATTTCTAAGGTTAAAAAAAAAAGATGACAAACATAATGAAGGATGTGCTCAGTTAATCTAGAGTTGACACACACAAAAGTAGAGGAGCTTAGGCAAATGATGGAAACCACAGATGCCCAACCTAAGAAAGAAATAGAATCAATAAAACAGATTCAAACAGATATGCAGGAGATTAAAAATTCCATTGAAAGTATATGCAGCTAAATGAACCAAGGTGAGGACAGAATATCAGATCAAGAAGACAGGATTGCCATTAGCAATCATGAAAAGAAAAATTTCTTTAAAATAGCAAGGAACCATGAAAAATCAATCCAATGGCTACAAGATGATGCAAAGAAGAACAACATAGGATTGATAGGAGTCAGTGAAAAACCAGGAGACAATGCAAATGACATTAAAAAGTTTTACATAAGCACTGGCAGAAAACTTCCCAAGCATGGAAAAAGAATTTGACATACAGAAAAGTGAAGCATATAAAACCCAAATTAGCCATGACCAAAATAAATCTACACCAAGGCATATAATAATCAAGATTCCAGAAATTCATCACAAGAACAAAATATTAAAAGCTTTTAGAGAAAAGAAACAAAGCACCTATAAAAGAAAGCCCATCAGAATCACAGTAGACTTCTCAGCACAAACCCTTAAGTCAAGGAGCACTTGGAGTGAAGTATTGCAAGTCCTGAAAGAAAAAACCTCCAACCCCAAATTGATTTACCCTGCAAAACAATCATTCAAAATCAATGGAGAAATAAGATATTTTCATGATAAAGAATAAATGAAGAAATTCATGCCCACCAAACAAGCTCTCTAAAGTATTCTGAAGGATATTTTATAAAGAGATAATGAAAACTACAATTCAAAGAACATCAATAGAAAGAATCCACCAGGCAAAGCAAGCAATTAAACAGAGGGGAAAGACAAGGAACTAACAACAGGAAAATAATATGACAACGTAAGCCAATACATATCAGTTATAACCACCAGTGTAAATGGTCTCAATTCACCAATTAAAAGAAATCTACTGGAAGAATGGATCAAGAAACAAGATCCAGTGCAGGGACCCGAGTTCGATCCCCAGTACCAAAAAAAAGAAAAGAAACAAGATCAAACAATAAGCTGCATACAAAAAACACATTTAATTACAAAAGAAATTCAGACACTGAAAGTCAAAGGATAGAAAACAATACTTCACGCAACAGGTACCTGGAAAAGAGCAGAGGTAGCAATACTATTTGCAGACAAAGTAAACTTCAAGCCAAGACCAATCAAGAGAAGCAAAGAAGGTCACTACATATTTGATAAGAAAAAACTCCAAGAGGAAGAGATAACAGTCATAAATATATACGCACCAA